AATATATATATATTAGTTTCAAGACAATTTTCCTACAGGGGAAAAAATTCATATGGCATTAGGATAGTTCTAATTCTATCACACAAGGATTATTAAAAAATATGGTTCATTAAAAAAATATGGCCAAAATGATGGCTCACTGGAGATCATGTTCTAGTAAGATTATACCCCATATTTATTTTATCAGTCATTCTACTTATGTATTTGCTGAATCAATACAGAAATAAAATAAATCATAAAAAACCAAATAAAACAATTAAATCCATATAATTAATCCAAAGAAAAGTAAAGATGAAAACAAACTATTTAATCAAATGCTCACTGGGAAAGTTTGCTGTTCAATAGCTTCTGCAACATTAGAAAAGATGGAGAAAACCTTACTTCTAATGGGATGGTGTTCCCCTTACCCCACAAAAGCTGAACATTCCCCAGAGTTGCTTTGTGTGAGATGGGCAGCTATATAAATGTGACATTTTATCTATCTATCTATCTATCTATCTATCTATCTATCTATCTATCTATCTATCTATCTATCTATCTATCTATCAAATTTGTCACCGCCCATCTCGTTGAAATGACTTTATAAGTGTGTGTGTATGACAATAAATAAATAAATGAATGAATAAATGTGGGTTATGACAAAAAACCTATCCTGTGAAAAATGCACTGGATGTTTAATTTGCCTGCTTTATTCACAGTTGTTCTTTTTCCTAATCTGATTCTAATTTCATTTAGCATGATTTCAAACCCTAATTTTAAATCCTGGTTGCCATCAACTTTGATTAGTGCAAATTATAATTAGTGTAAATGTAGCACTATAATATATGACAAAGAAAGAAAAGGGAGCAGAATTTGGAAGTGGTATAAATTTTATTGTGCTTTTTTATTTCTATGGCAAGATGTTGTGAGGACTATTGTTAGAAACTGGCATTTAAAAAGATTATAAAAACACTGGAGAAGATTTCATGCCCCCAAAGTTGCCTCCTGATTTGCAAACCATGGCTTGCAGACAGCCAGGATACTGTTTTAATGCGAGTATTTGCTGACAAAGGAAGAGTCTCCAATTATGCAAATTCAGTAGACAGAGAAGGTTTTAGTTGCTGAGGCTGTCATTAGGGAACTTAAAAAGAAATGTAGCATAGATTTCTCCCAGAGTGGATTCACTAAAATGCAGTCTGCCATAGCAGATAGCAATCCTGAACTGAATCCCACAGGGTTTATCTTTTTCAAATAACAATCTGCAAAAAACAAATGTATAAACAAAAACAAAAACCTTGTGCATGATTTACATACATTCTTTACCATTTTTGCATTTCCCAATGCAAGGTTCTCTGATAGCGTTCTTTCTTATGCAAATTATTCCAATGTGAACTTTGCTTCACATTGCTTTACATGTCCATCATTGGGAGAGGTTTTAAGGAGTTCAGACTAAGCAGCCAGAAGGAACACCTTTAAGCACTTCTTCCTCCCATGCTCTCTAGTTTGGAAAACAAGATCTTTAGAGCAACTAACTCTTATTAACGGTTAGAAAATAAAATTAAACAGAAATATACAATGTTAGTAGCATTAAAAAAACCCATCATGGGGATTTAATTAATTGAGAGGACTCCAGTGCAGGAAAAGCATAAAACCATCTTATGTACAAACATTTTTTACAATCCCTTTTCAGAATTATGTTACCTAGTTTAACGAAAATGGGCTTGAGCAATATGTCTTTTTGAATGCCCTGAAAACATGGAAGGGTTTCTTCTAAGTCACAGCACATAAACCAGGTATTTTCTTCCAGCCATGGAATTTGCGGTTTGGCAGGCCGCTCCTGTTACAAAGATGATAGATATGTCAAATAATATGGGGAAAAGTTGTACAGAGATTATGTTCAGCCTATGCATTAGATTAAATATGAATACAGCAGAAGAAAATGCAAACCGATGACCTAATTACTTTATTGTCTAGTTTTCTGATCAAACCCCAATCTCAAATCTCTGATCAAGTGCTTTATGTTGACTGTATGGGTACTTTGTTCAGAGTTTTTCTGTTCCTGTTCACTGTCTTTTCTCTGTTCCTTTCCCTTTATGGACTCTAAAACACCAAAAAGAAGCTGATGGAAACATTTCAACCTAAAAACATATTTAATAAAAGTGCATCTTTCTGGGCATTTCAATTTTAAATTGATTTGAGGGCTAATACCTGCAGAAAAAGAAAAGCCCCAGCCTAGCACCGCCCATGCCTTTCCTTGTTCAGTGACATTACGCTTGGCTAGTTGTACCTCTATTCATTGTTTCTTACAGGTGCAAGGGTGTTTTGTTTTTCTCACCCAGAATTAAGTTCTCATGAGAAGTTGGGATGCTAACCTCTTTTTTACAGTTACTAAAAATAAAGAAAGCTTTGAAATTTCACTAATTATAAAAATTGTTCCCCAAATACCTTATCCAAGCCAGCAGCTCCACGCAAGAAAAAATTCCATTCAGTGTCTGTAAGTTCTTCTTTCTGCCGCATGATTTCAATACAGAGCATGAAGCTATAGATGAGTTTGTGCTGTTCAAAAAGGCCTCGGGAAACATTAGTGTAAGTTGCATAGAGAGTCTGACTAAGTAGGATAGCTAATCGCAATTCCAGAACATCATTTTTTTCAGAAGTTTCAATTGTTGCATTAAATAGCTGCCAAAGAAGAAGGAAAAGAAAATGAGCATTGAAGAGGATAGGGAAAGTGAAATCCTGAAATAATAAAAAAAAAAATTAAGAGGCAGAAAATTAATTTACATAGTGGACCAACTAATTTTATTAATTTAAATGTAGGTGTTGTCTGACTCCAAAGATACAAACTGATGCCAGTAAAAAAATAATTTTGGCAAATGAGATGATAAACTACTATGTGAAGTCAGCGCAGTAAGAACAGCCAAGCAATGGTTTAGCAGCAAACAACAATGATCTTTCAATGTTCCATTAGAACTGTAACTATATGGTCAAGGAAATGCCTCCACTATGAGAACCCAAAACCACTAAACTCCGTACAGTTCTAATCAAATCAAAGATTCATTGTACTAATGAGTGAGCTAGACATTGAGAGCCTTCACATGTAAAGGGTACTAAATAGGAAGTTGTTTAAAACTAACTGCATGCTTTATTCTATTCCTTTTTGAAAAAAATTAGGATCTTATGATGATATGCTTTGCCATTACAAGTCTGAGATTTTTTTTATATAAAAAGTATTAATCCATCCAAGTCTATATGGGCCCTGGAACATCAGAATTACCCCAAGTCTCATTTTTTTCTTTGCTGTATGTCTGGTTTTCCTGCCTTTTATCCTTCTTTACTGAGACTCAATTTCTTCTAAAATCTTTCTTCCCCCTCCTCAATGCTAGTTAACTAGTATACATCCCTGCACTCTTTGTTATCTTTATCATCTCCACTGTTTTTTACATTGCTCCAAAAAGATTAATAAATCTTCATTTGTGGAAAATGCTGAAACCCAGTTTCTTTTAAAATTAAAAATAGTACCTTTAACACCATTCTAGTATCAGTACCATACTGTGATCTGGGAGCAGAAAGGCAGCATGAAGCTAAGCCACAGTAGCTTACCTATGGTCATGTAACAAATTCACGACTGGAGCAAGATTTGATGTGGAACATACATAGGAATTAATATTCAGGTTTCTCAACATTTGAATATGAATTCATATTGTATATAAACATTTGTTTATGAACTGCCCGGAACTGCTGGGAGTTGGGCGCCATATAAATTTAAATAATAATAATAATAATAGTAATAGTAATAGTAATAGTAATAATACAGGTATCTGGGCATTTTACAGTTGGATAACATCAAGCATGGACAAGTTAAAAATGTGATCAGTAAAGAATACAACCAAAGAGTGAGAAAATTGTTAACCACAAGATTGAATGGTGGAAATACCATCAATGCCATCAATACCTGGGCCATACCTGTTATACAATACACTGCTGGAACTATTAACTGGACACAAACTGAACTGGACAGTTTGGACTGAAAAACAAGAAAACTCATGACTATTCACTATGCATTACATCCCCATAGTGATATTGATAAATTATATCTGCCCTGCAGAAATGGAAGCGGAGGTTTACTTCAAGTCAAACAAACTGTCAAAGAAGAAAAGCATGCATTGACTGATTATGTAAAAGACAGTCAAGAACAAGCACTGATGCAAGTGAAAAATTGGAACTTACTGAATGTACAGGAAACAAAACATGAATATTGAAA